GAAGCCCTCTGTATTAAAGGCCGTGCTGTGTGTCTAACTTCCATGAGACCCTTCTCTACTGTGACTCCTGCATATTAACCCTGGACATGGACTGACATACTTTCCTTCTCTTAGATTGCCCCAGACTCTGAGTAAAGGGTGAAAATGAAATCGTCACAATTCTGTATGTACACAGATATTTACTGCAGCACTATTTGTAATGGTAAAAAAGTTGAAAACGGACTAAATGTTTATTAACCAGAGACTGATTACATAAATTGTGCCTCATCTATAAGATGGAACATTATGTAGACACTAAAATAAATGAGGTAAATCTTTATGTAGAAGCATAAAAATTTCAATACGAACCAAGATTGCTTATGTAAAGGTTCAAATTTCCAACAGTGAATTCAATTGTATTATATACAATAAAATTAATTTAAAATTTTTCTCCTTAACAAATTGTTGGGTGGAATAAGGCAAATTGGGGAGCATTACATATAGTATGATCTTGTTCTTGGGTATAAAAACATAATTGTATGTGCACAAACTGAAAGGCCTAGTAACTGCTAATAGTGGTCACCCTTGAAGAATAGAAGGCAAGTGTACAAGAGGCCAAATTCTTTCACTTTTACTTAAAATGATTCTACAATGTTTGAATGATTGATTCACAGTAAGCACACATTCTTCTAATGATTAAAAATAAAACTTATCAAATATAACCTAATTTTTCTCCCTATTTGTTAATTGATTTATAAAATAAAAATAAGAACATTTTTATATATACTTGTCCTCCCATCCATAATACTGAAATACAATGATAAAAATTAATGGCCCTGGAACTATAGATTCAATTTAATCCCAATTTGCAATGTAAGAGGCAAGATTAAAATAGAACCTTAATAGTTTAAAATGCATGTTATAAATTGAATTTATATTAAAGAAAGCATTTTTTAAGAAAAATAAGAGGAAATCTTTTCTTACATGACTTCTGTGTTGGAGGCTTAAAATGATACTGGTTTGAAAGGAAATAGTCAGAAACCAATTGGAGAAAGCAAAATATTCTGTGTGTAGTCAGTAATTGAATGTTGGAATAATGTATGGAAAAACCCAATGCTGGGCACATCAGTTCCATGGTTACAAGTGCTTTGGTATTATTTTAATAAAGTTAACCATAAGCTGACTGAGGATACAGGGCGTTTTAAGTATGTGAGTGTGTTTGAATAAGGAAATGGGAAGGAAAGATGCTCAGAAAGAGAGAGAGGAAAAAAGAAGAAGAAAGAGAAGGACAAGGAGACGTGGGGGGGGTTGACAAGGGACACTGGCTGAGGTGGCCGGAGAGGAGAGAGGGGAAAAAGGGCAGGGAAGGGAGGGGAGGGGAGGGGAGGGACGGGAAGGGAAGGGAAGAGATCTTTACTTCTCTAGTTGACTCCACTTGTTCGTGCCCCTGGATTCAACTTTAAGATTGGAAAAGGTGAACTCTGAGAACCCTAGAAGAAAAAAAGTGATAAAAGTTATCAAATGCAAAAGCCCTGAGAAAAAGAAAGAAATGACTTAGTCATTTATTTGTAACTGAAGAGAAAATAATGGAAAAGTATCTTCCATTACATAGCCTAAAAGAATCAGAGAGGTTGAAGGGAGATTTCAGCTCTTTATATTCAAACTCTAGTCCACTAAAAAATTCCTTCTCTCTATATATAGTTTTGGTTATCATACTTCTGTTTAAGAATTTCTGGCAGCAGGAAGTTCATTCTTTTATCTTTAGACAGAATGTTCCAGATCATAGACTTTTTCGAGAGAAAAAATGGTTTCTCAGCCAACCCCTGCAGTCAACTAGTAAAATGGATTCCACACTTCATTGAACTTTCCAAGACATATTTTCCTTGTCAGTAGGGTGACAGAGTCAAGCTCAAATGCCATCAGAGTCCTGTACATCTGTAAAAGGGCTACTTTTAAAAAATGTTTTTAATGGAAGCAAAGTTTTATTAAAGGTAGGAAATGAAGCGGGTTCTACAGAGTGAGTTTGGGTCAAGTAAAAGTAAGAAAAGAAGTACCACTACTCAGCGCGAGGGTGGGCTGGGCTCAAGAGAGAACACAGTGGCAAAAACTCAGTGTGGACTGTCCTTTTGATATCACCCACTCTTCGGGCTGATGTCAGGTCTAGACCATCCTATGGAAAACCTGCTCAGGTTCTAGTGAGAAGTCTACAAGCAGGGCTGTGGAGTCTATTCTGAGCATGTATCCTGGGATTTTGTAATTAAAAGGTCACATCTACTTCTCCAGCCAGCTCTGCCATGCCCTAATCTCCTTTCTCAGCCTCTCACCCCAAGAAGTATCCCCATAATTCTTTATGGGATCCTGAGCGAGTGGAGGTCTTTGGCTTCCAGAGCTCTTTCAAGCTGGAAGAGACTGTAGACCCTACCCACTAGGGATTCGTGCTCTCTAACTGCCTTGGGGCTCTGTGACTCACTGACTGGACTGAAGACATGAAAAGTCTATCAGAAATCAGAGAGAAAAGAGTTAGTGACCACTGAGCTGCCCATTTGATGGAAGAAGAAACTTCACTATCAACCCTAACATGAGGAGTTAAGACTTCTGGTCTCTGTCCCAAAGTTAACTTTGTAGTAGCTTCCTCTTTTGGTAGAGCTGTAGCTGCTACTGCTCTCAGGCAGGGTGGCCATCCAGCAGCCACTCCATCTAACTTATTTGAAAAGAATGCCACTGGGTGGAGTTCTTATCCTCACCTTTGGATCAAGACCCTAAAGCAATTCCTCCTTATTCTGATATGCAGAGAAAGAAGGGTTTTCTTAAGTTGGTGTTGGAGCCTGAGTAAGGGCATGCTTTAGTTTTCTAAAGGCACGGTCAGTTACCTTTATCTATTCTAGGGGTATGGACTCTGGGCCTTTGGCAGTCTCATTAGCTCAAAATTAGGCGGCCAGATCTTACAGAAGCTGATAATCCCCAGGAAGGAACGAAGCTGCTGTTTGGTGGGAAATAGCCTGATATGTTGCCTACACAGCTGGCACTCCCAAAGTGAAAGATTTCCCATATATTGAACTTTTTCTTCTTCTTCTTCTTTATTTTTTTTTTTTTTT